GCAAGGTTAGTGTTCTCTCTCTTCATACTGTACTGTACTGTACTTTGTTTCACATTTTTGTAATTAAAAAAAATACATATGGTTCAGAACGGATTAACCTTATGGGAAAATTTGATTCGGTTGGCGACCAATTCAGTTGGCGACCACGTTCATAGGGGCCAGAACGGATTAACCTTATTTACACTGAACCTTATGGGGAAATTTGATTCAATTCGCGACCAATTCAGTTCGCAACCAGAATCGTGGAACGAATTAAGTTCATGAACCAAGGTACCACTGTAGTTTAAGGAATGTTTTCTGTGCTGCAACTAGTACAATAATCTCTTTTCCAAATTAAGTGCTAACCTAACTAAAACTGAAATAATAATGAGAGGACTGAGTGCTGGACGACTGAGCCAACTTGGGCCAAAATTTCCCAACTGAGACAAAACTGTTAACACTTAGAGGTTAAACTAAATTTAGTATTTGGGACAGCTTTCAGAATTTGCAGTTGCATTTTAGCTAGATCAGTTTCTTGAATAAACTGCAGTGGAGAATAAAGAAAATGAAGAGCTCTTCTTGCTCTTTTAAAAAAATCTACTATTTGACTCCATAGGGTTAATTTCAAAATAAACATTACAATGGCACTTTTAAAATGTTTTAATTCACTCCTCCAATTTTGCACATTTATAGACCCATGAAAGAATCACAGCACGTGTCCATTTCTCAGAAAACCGGAAGCTTCCCAAAGGCATTAACTAATCATCGTTGAAAAAAGGCAAGAAAAGAACTTTATACTGTTCAACACTAACCTGCAGAGTTCACAACCAGAAGAGAAGGCAGTGGAGATCTAGGAATACAAGCCTAGAGGACAGAAGCAACGTCACCCTCTCTTTATTAGATTCTCGGCAGCCTGTGGTCGAGAGCTATTAGAAAAGAAAGACACTGAACCCATTGTCCGATCCATGCAGCTTTTCCAGCGCTGAGAACTGCACCAAGGACAGAAGGCCACTGCCTCGCGCAGCCCTCCCAACCTGAACGCGAAAAAAGTGCAAGGCGCCTTTGCCACGCCCTCTTGCCCCCATCCCTTGGGAGATCGAGAGAGGCGCGCGCTCTCCCACCCTGCCCGCAGACTTTCAAGTGCCCCATTCCACTTACCGGCCTCTCCGCGAGAGACGCTCAACTCAAGAACCCGGGTAATGCAAATTCGCATGCGACGCGACGGAAGATTCCTTCCTCGAGGTACGAATGCCTGAAGTGGACAAAATAAGCCAGTCGCCGAGCCTTAATGCTTTCGCCTCCCGTCGGGCTGTGCGCGCCTAGTTGCTAGGCAATCTGCCGCAGCTCCTCGTATTAGCGGGTTTCTAGCCGCGGCTCTTGCTCGATGGCGAAGTTCGTGCTGGCAGGTGAGGGGGAAGCTCCTCCAAGGCGACTCTTACACACCCCCGCTGGTTGGGGATGACTGAATGCTTTTGGATTAGGCTGGCGTCGCCGTTTCTTTCCTATATCGTTGTTGGAATCATGCTTCTTTGTAGACTGCCCAGACTGATGGGGGCCGCTTGCAGAGACTGTAAATAAGTAGGAGAAGAAAACGACTTCCAGGTTGGAAGTCGTGTCTTCTTTAGATAGAGATAATAAGGCGTTTAAACCCTTTGTCATCTACATATTACACTCCGTTTTCGCGATTTTGCTTTTTGAACTGGATTTTTATTGTATTTGTAAGCCGCCAAGAGTCTGTCAAATTGTGGCGGGTTAAAACCAAATCCATAGATAGTGCAAGGTAGCAATAGCTGAGTGGTTCCTAACTAAGCCAAAATCATTTAAGCAAACCAAATTAGGGTTTAGGCTTAAGCTCTAATTTGGTTTGTTCGGTTTTAGCATACAGGCTTGTATGAACCAGCCATTATAATGGTTTAGCATATTGTATGAATTCAGCCTGTTGTGGATTATTCAATAAATCTTAATTAAATTGTAGCTTAATACAATATGGACTCAGCCATATCCTCTGTTTTAGAAACATTGTATTAGGCCTGCTGTATGTAGGCTGTACAATCCATTCAACTACTAGATGGCAGCAGAGAGAGACATAAACCTTTAAGTCTTTGTTTCCAGTAGTCCGGATTTTTGCTGCCCAAATATCTTAGGGTCAATAGTATAAACTAACTTTAGCCCATTTTCTGATTTGTTTTCAGTGTCTTCTAATCAATCAAGGGCTGCAAAATCAAACTAAAAGGACAAATTCCATGAATTACCTAAGCAATCCAATCCTATTTTATGGATTATTTCAATAAAATCTACTGAAGTTGTTTACGGATATTGTGTCTGTGAAATAATGTATTATTGGTGTACTTCGACCATTATACTCTGCTGCTCTAATTTTTAATATCAAATTATTTCAACATTACCATGGTTTTGCAGCAGTTAAGGTTTGGGACTAGGACTGGGGAAACCCAAGTTCTAGTCCACCCTCAGCCATAGAAGTTTCGGGTGACTTTGGATCAGTCCTTTCAGCCAACCTCCCTCACTAGCTGGCTGCTTTGGGAAAAATAGGAAGAAGCAACATTGTGTACACTGCCTTGGGCTCTTGAATGAAAGGTGGGATATAAATCCAATAAAGAAATCACAAGTTTATAAATGTGTACAATTCTTATTAACTACTTAATTTCCAGGTAGGGCAGATTGCCCCTATTATGCTAAAGCAGAACTCCTAGCTGACTATCTGCAGGAAAATTTGCCTAACTTCAGGATACACAAGATTATTCAACATCCTGACAACTGGGAGGTAAAAAGATTTCAGTCTGGTTCACTGCTGGGGATATTCTCTACTGTTGGAATCCATTAACTATCAAAAGCATCTTTACAGGTGGCAGAAGAGACAGATAGGATAAATGTACAGTGTATAAAAATAGTTATATTGAGACAATGATGAAGAAAGCTAATGAACTCTGCTAACCATTGAGTTTGGTTAAATGTAACCTTATTGTATTTCAAATGTATGATAGTTTAGGGGCATAAAATGAAATTTGGCAAATCTACACAGCTTCATATTTCTTTAATATTTATTGATGGATAAGAACTGACATATTGATGATACATAAAGTTTCATCTGTGTTGCTTTAGCTTAGACTGAGATAAATTAGATTTTTTTTCTGCAGAAAGAATTATTGCAGAATTTAGATAAGAAGTCAGATGTAACCCCACCACCACCACCAATTGGTGGCAAAAAGTATGTGAAAATACTGTCCACTAGTGGCTATCTCTGTATATTTGTCTAGAACAAATTTATAATTGGGTGTTGATTAAAGCAGTCACTGAGGAATTTACTTTATAGATTATCACAGAATCTGTTCTGTGTTTTTCTGCTAAAACGCTGAAAGTGAACAATTACTTATTAGTATACTTAGGTGCACACATATTTAACCAGACTCTGTTTTATTTTGTTTTGTTTTGTTCCCATTCCATTAATGTGGTTATATTAGCATTTGCTCTGTGTGTATGTGTATGTCTAGCCTAAAAAAGGGAAGCTTAAAGGAAAATAATGATTTGAATAAAATACAATTTTTCTTTAGCCCAGAGTTCCAGGGTAAAATCAATTGGTAGAAATTGCAGGAAAACACAATACCTTAGGCCATGATGACCAGTCTTTCACTGATAGTATTTTAGCAGAGATGTGATAGTCTTTTTCCAGGAATAATGTGGATTCTTCATTGAGCAGGAATTGGACTAAATGATCACCAAGGTGTCTGCCAACTTGATAATTATATAAATCAAAAATGGAGACTGTATTTCATCCTGCAAGCTGAGCTCACTCTGGGTGTCCAAATATGGGTGCCAAATGTTACCAGGTTGCATTACTGTTATGTGAGTTGTCCTCCACCCTGATGAATGCCTGCATCCACATTCATACATTCTATTCATAAATATATTCTTCACATTCTCCTCTTGTTCTGTATGAAGAGAGAGTGTTTGGATAATTATAGGAAATGATGATTATTTCAGCATTGCTGTGAAAGCCATTTATGGATTTATACACATTAGAATTGTATGTTATACTTAATTTGAAGGCATTTATCTTTAGAACTGGCTGCAGGAGATCTGTAATCAGAATGGCTGGAAACACAAACGCTCTCCAATTATTTGGAGAGAACTATTGGTCCGTGGAGGAAAGGGCCTTCTTCTAGGAGGATTCAATGAATTTCTAGAACATGCTCAGGTAAAAAGTTGCATATTGATTTTTCTGCTCGTTTCTTCTCCTTTCTCATTAATCTGTTTTTATTTATTTTCAGACTAGCCAAAATTCAGTATATGTTTAGCCATGATTGTCAACACAGTGCTTCAGTCAGCTTAGTTAAAACTGTTAAGGAATTAGTGAATGGGAACTTAAATATATTAATAAAATATCTGAATCTCATTGAAGGACAGATGAAACACATAATATAAAGGGGTAGAACAGTTGTTTGTTAAGGTAAATGGGAAAGGGCAGTAAGCAGAAAATTCTTTGAAAGAATAATGAGTAATTTTGGTAAACGGGAAAATATTTCTAACAAGTAATTGTAGATTACTTCCAGAGTAAATTCCAAATAATCTTGCCAATCACCCAAATAACTGGTGATAGAACTCCATTTACTGTTGAGCTAGACTAATGGGTGGTATGTAGTAGATTAGCAAAAAATTTTGTTTCCCGCTTACTTAATAATAGCAACAACAAAATGTAAGGATGTTAAAATAAAGAAAACTGAGTATAAATGTGACATATAGAATGAATGAATGAATGAATGAATGAATGAATGAATGAATGAATATTAATGGATTTGGGGGAAGTAAACTATGAAGTGCCAAGATGGGTGGCAACACTCAGCAGCTGACCTCGGCTAATCTTAAAAAGCTATGCAGAATTAGGACTTGAAAGAGAAACCATCAAACATCCCAGAGCTGTAGGTTAAACTGGGAAGAAATCAAAACACTCTGTACCTGTTCCCAGTAAAACTGTCTGCACGTGTCCATGGAGTCATCAGATTTTTTGTGCAAACTCTGAACTGAGTTCAAAATTTCATCTAAAAACAAATCCCTAGACCAAGAAATGCTCAGAGGCACCATATGTTTTAACTCCAAGTATATGTCTTTGCTCTTGACATTCTGTGGTAGAGGTAGGGGTCTAACAAAATAAAATCTGGCAAAACTGAAATCTGCTTCCCATCTCATGTTGTTATATTACTATTTATATCCTGCTGTTCTTGGACAGCTAACATCATAGATGAGGCAAGTTCTTCCAATTCTGTAGTTACTACTGTTTCTATATTTTTGTAATAAAATATGTTTTGGTCTTCAGAACTTGAGATAAATGGATATTTACTGATGACCCTTTTTAATTTTCAGCACTACTATAACGTCACATCACACATGATGACTGAAGAGATGTTCTTAATAGCTAAAGAGAACTTGCATAATTGCATAGAAATTGAAACAGAAGAGGAAGAACTAAAAAGTCTTATCAACCCCTTGCACATTTGGGTCAACAGGTGAGAAGATGAAAAAGAAACAACAGAGGCTGAAAAATTTTAACCTCATTCATTTTTTTTTCTTATTAATACAGGAGTCACAGAGTCAGGCAGATTTGCTGAATTGGGAACATGTATACAAATGAGTGCATTCTTTTATTGTGATATCCAAACTGGCCTTCAAGAATTTAGATCATTCCTCTTTAGTGTCCAGTTGCAGATTGCCACTGTCCCATTGACATTAGCTATGGGAAACCAGCAGTGTGGTCCCTGCCATCTATCTGGTCATGCTGCTTAGCTGGCTCAAGATAGGAATCTGTATATTGTTGACACCAGGATAGGTTATTGCCATTGAATTTTAGGGTTTAATTTGTTCCATCAGTTTTTTGTGATTAAAGAAAATAGGAAAATTCACAGATATTTATCATCACATTTCCTACAGGTTTGTATATAATTTAAGGCTAAATATATTTTCAACTACCCTACACCCATATGTGCAAATGTTTGGTGGAGGGGCTAATATTTATCAGATCACATAATTGAACTTGGTTAATATTGAACAGCTAAGCAGCTTGGTTGGCACTTGGATGGAAAACCACCAGGAAACCCAGGCTTTCGGTTAGAATGGCAAGTTCAAAAAATATGTTGGAAGAAGGCAATAGCAAGCCACTTCCATATTGTTGCCAGGAAAACTACATGGAGCTTGAGTCAAGTAAGTATTTTACTTCAAAGATAGCCTAAAAAATCTCTCCAGCTACTTTGCAAAATCTCCCTTTAAAAAGAGGGGAAACAGCACTTTACAGATAGTTGGGAGGAGAGCTGAAGTATTTCTGCCAGTGATGTTGTTTTTCTCAGGATTAGCCCACCTCCAGATGCTTATGCTAGAATGGACAAAATCAGAAAAGCAGCAGCAAACAGGGTAATTGCTATGTAACATGTGGTTATCCTTCCAATGTATATTTATGCTAATGTATTATGAGGGATTTGAGTGATTGAGAAGGCTTTGATCTCCCTTTTTTGCCACTTGCTTTGCAAAATTTCACCACTGCCACCAACCTGCCCACAAAGAGCTGAAAAATAAATTCTGTTGGTACTAGATGCTTCAAAACTATTGGTTTTCTTTATCCTTTTTTTCTTAATCAGGGCATGCAGTCATGCCTGCTATCATCTGATCCCTTTATTAACGAATGGAGAAATATTTGGAATGGAAACTGAGGTCAGCCTTCATTTGTTGGACAGAAGCAGTTTCAAAGAAATTCTTCAGGGTGTTGTTATGGAGACTCAAGATTTAGCATCCCCGGTCCTTCGTAGTGTCACCTCCCACACTGAACTGGAGGAGGCTTTCCTTGATGCTGATATCATCATTTTGTTTGATGACATCCTACAGGAAACAATCCCAACACTTGAAGACTGTATCCACCAAGTGACCAATCAATGTAAAATATATGGCCCTTTGATAGAGCAGAATGCCAAAAGCAATGTCAGAATTATTGTGATGGGAAAAATCTTTGCCAACCTTAAGGCATTAATGCTTATGACACATGCACCATCTATAAATCCTCGAAATATTGTCACTCTTGCCATGCTCTTGGAAAGTGAAGCCAAGGCTCTGTTAGCAAGAAAAATGCAAATGCACCCAGCAGGTATGTAACAGACTGATGCTTAATCATTGAATTAGTTTGGACTATTTTTGTCTCAAGTTATATTAAAACTGTAACAAAGACAAATTATAAATGAAAATTAAAGCATGTATGTAGAGGGCCAGAGAGATGATGTTGGAGAAGGAATCTAGAGGCCATTAGGGAAACACCAGGTGCAGAAGAAATGTGTTAAGTCCAGAGAACTGGAAGAGTGTTATGAAGAGACTTAGACTATTTCCCCCCACCCCCACCCTGCTGATTCCCTGGGTATAAGCGGGAGAAAAGGGAAAACGGGAAGACTTGTAAGGTTGATTCCAGCCTTCCTGGATAGACCAGATCAGGAAAAAGACTCCACAAGATGACTAGAATTATACTTTATTGAGATAGTCTATAATAACAGAATCTTCCAAATCAGTCCATGTCTCTCTTTCTCTTCCCCTTACACTCCAGGGAGATAGGAAGGGGCTAGTCTGAGTCTCTTTGTAAAATCATCCGCCTCAATATTCCCAGAAAAATTGGAGTTAGGGGCATGGGAATGAAGTGCAGATGTGTTGATCCCCTCCTAGCTCATCCTCTATACTCTATAAAGGCACATGGAAGGATCTTAACTTGTGAGGTGATAAATGGATTCTAGATAATAGTGTGATTTCACAAGGCTGCACATTTTGAGGGTTTGGATGCACGTGGAAAGTAAGTTGTTCCATATCACAGTACATGAATGTAGAGGAATTCTGGTGCTTTAGGGAAGAGGATGTGAAGGAGCCAGATAAAGCCCACACAAATGATAGCTGTTATTTATGCTACTGACCATGTTGGCCACATGGCACCTCCAGATTAGAAGAACTATGCTGGGGAACAATTACAGGAACCACTATTGACTACTTATGGGCTTATATGAGGTATTTTAGTGGCAAATAGGATGTTGGAATAGATTAATCTTTGGTCTTGCTTGTCTGTTCGTTCAGTTGTCCATTGTTGTCTTTTAACAGGGATAAAAAATCTCATAGTCTGGGGGAACGTCAGTGGCAGTAGCTTCGTTGATCTGAGTAAAACAGAGCTATATAGATATGACAGCGCCATCTGGGGCCCACCAAGCTTTTTTCGTCCTTTGTTGGATGTGCTGTTTGATCGGTACTGTATTCTTTCTGATTTTTTAAAAAAATTGGTATTATGCAGTTCTTGAAACATTAGAGGAATATAGAACATTTATAAAATTTTATAAAATTTTATGCCATATAAATCTGCTCCAATCCTTAACCTATTTCACAGTTCCTTGCAAGTTTTTGCATTTTAAAAAAAAATCATAGTCACCTTAAAATTATTTTTTTTGGCCCTTTGTTGCTGCCTGAAAAGAAGAGCAGCATTTAGCTGATAGACTTGAAAATTGAACAATAAACGATTATGTGCTATTGAACTGTTGGCCTTTGGCTGTAATAAAGCATATGATCTAAGAAATATATGTCTGAGTCTTTTCAGGACTATCTCTAGATTCCCTCAATTTAATTTACTAGACATTTTGTGGCTAACTTTAAAGTAGTAAGATTGCTGTCTACCTACATTTAAAATTGCATTGGAGCATCAACACTTTGGTTTATGTTCTACATCCAAAATAATTAGCAGTAGAAGTATGTAAACATTTTTTTGAAATTAAGCATCTTCCCATATCTTTACTTCTACCAACAATGTTCTAGAACTCTGGTAAAAATTAAAACCTCTGTGATATACTTTCTAACTCTGTATATAATGCTATATTTTGAAAGAATGTCATGACCTAAAATTTGGTATTTTGCTTTAAAATAATTAAGGTCAATGTATTAAAAAAATTAATAAATGGGCTGCTCTGGCAATCAACAGCATTAATCCAATGCTCTTTTAAAGTCCTACTTGACAGGATTTTGAGACACATTTTGCTGCCAAAATTGTTTCTGTGAATGCTGTTTTCTGAATTTTTATTCTTTGCAGATATTTTTATTGGGCAAATCTAAGTAGCTTACAAGTATAACAAAACAAAACAATCATAATACTTACTCTAGGTAACTCCATAAAATCATAATTATCACATCTCTGATACCAAAATGACTACCTGAATAATGAAGTTTTAACAACTTTCTAAATACTAATAACAAAAGTGCATTTTTATTTTTAAGGATAGCTGGTTCTATAGGAGGGGAGCTCCAGCACAGGCTTGTCTCCAGGTCCTCTCCTGCTGCCCCTCACAGAGGATGCGCCATGGGGACTCATAACAAGTGTTCTCTACTAACCAGCCTTGGGTGGGCAGATTCTACTCAAAGCAAGTGGTCGTGTAGATCCTAAGCCATGTATAATTTTATAAGTTAATGCCAGCATCTTGAATTGCACCTGGAAACAAACTTCCCTAGATACATATTTCTGATGTTGTTGCTGTTGTTGCCATACTCTTGACTTGTCCTATGTATGGCTTCCAGCTTGCAGTCTGGAGATTTTCCGTGTCATTTCAAAACCATGACTTCCCCCCCCCACCACAGCACCTTTGGAGTCCTGCTTCTTTCAGCAGGCAAAGGAAGATGTCTCACAAAAGAACTATAGGGAAAGCTGACGGGAGACAATGCCTTACCACTTAATTCAGCAACAGATTAAAGATAAAAGGAGGCATCTCTGCACTGAAACCTGACACCTCCAGCTTAAAATGGAGGAACTCAAAGCAGAAGGGCATCTTACACAGTAGTTACTCTATCTGGCCCTCCCACACCATTACAAACTAGCTGAGGACATTGTGGAATATATAAGGCTGGGGATATGAGACTTAAATTTCTTGAAAAAAGCTGAAGGCTCATCTTTACAGAGGATATGTTACATTTGTTTTCTTTATTATGTTTAAGAAAAGGTATAATTTCTTGTTGACAGCGAATGGATGCATATTGAATTTGTGGCTTCACTGAGTTCACTAAGTTCTTGGGGAACTCGTGGTTTAGGAATGGCACCTGCACATACAATTGCTACTGTGCTGAGATACTGGTACCAAGGATCCCCTCCTGGAGAAATGGTCTCCTTGGGAGTAATTAGTGAAGGTAAATGTCCTGGAAAGTTTTTCTGTCACACTTATTTTAGTGACACTAGAAGCCATTATCACCAAGCTGAATATTTTCAGCAAGGAGTGTCTGCGGCGGAATCAAAAAGATCAAGATGGCAGGTATGACTGTGTGATTGAAGCCCTGAGCCTCTTTACGTGCACAGCCATTTTAGCAGGGAGAATTGGATGCGGGGTATGCAGATGGGGGCCATACGTATACCACTGGTGCAACTACTCCCTCCTCTTCAAGTAGACTCCAGTGATGTTCCGATGATGATGATGATTTTGCGCCTGGCAACTGCCTGGACTAGTCCCTGCAGTTTTCTTGGCAAGGTTTTTTGGAAGTGGTTTGCCATTGCCTGTTCCCTTAGGGCTGAGAGAGAGTCAAGGTCACCCAGCTGGCTTTGTGCCCAAGGCAGGACAAGAACTCACAGTCTCCCAGTTTTTAGCCTGATGCCTTAACCACTACACCAAACTGGCTTTCTCCAGTGATTTTACAGGTTTTAATTTAAGCATGAGTCAATTCTCTGAAGTCTCAATTTAGAAAACTAGCTGAAGCAAGAACATTAGATGTAATCTTCATGAATGCTTCTGTCTTCATCTGTTGTTCACTTTGTTATAGATAAAAGTAGACACGTGCATGAAGTGTACATCTACTGTTCCCACTTTGTTATAATATGCCAACTGCTTCTCAGATATTATATTTTTTAATATCTAAGAGTTGTTTTTATGGCTCTGCATAAAGTTCTAGCATCGAATTAATCTGGCTCTCTGGCCTGCCTGCATATTTCAGAAACGTTATCCATTTATGTATAACTTATTTATTTATAGTATTTATTACAATAATCAGGCTGTTCCTGACACTGATAATGAGGCCCTGTTTTGGGGGAGTATTGTGTGAGATCCTTGTGTGCATCTGGCAAAATGAGACCTTGAGGTAATTTAACAGGATTTTTTTTTAATGAACAACTTGGTACATTCAGAAATGGCATTCATTTTTAATGGTGTTCTGTTGGGTTTTTGTTTCTGATTCTATAGATGGATTTGTAACAAATCATGCATCAGTAAGATTTAGTACAAAGTTTTATTTACTAAATTCATAACTTCTCTTTAGATAATCTGTAAAATATTATAATATCCTCTAGATTGTACCTGTCCTAGTGACAGGTTATTAAATCTAGGTTATAGTGGTTGGAATAGTTCACTTCTACTCTATCCATTATAGCAGCTAAAGTAATTCCTAGACCAGAAAGGAGCATTTATTGCTGAAAGTCAGTTCTCGTGATTTAGTTGTATTTTCTTAGAGTCAGAATGGTGGGATGTGCATCATATTCTTGTGATGCCCAAATGGAATAGAAAAACTATGCGTGTATAAATTATGGATTTATTATCTGTGTATTAAATATTTTTGAAAGGGTTTATTTCTGCTCTCAAGGTCAATTTGGACTTCCTGAGGGGATTGTCTATTCAATGCCTGTAAGGTTTGAGGATGGCAGCTGGGAGATCTTTACAGAAGTAGAAATTACTGAGAAAACTCAAGCATATCTTCTGATTATGGCCTGTGATCTAATTCGGGTAAAATTATATTGTATATTGCTCCCATAATTCATCCTTTTAGTTTGGATAGTCTAGAAAGCTCTCATCAAGATATCCCTGTTTTACAAAGGAAGCTATCTGCAAATCAACAGACACTGTTAATCATTTAGAGTCTAGTGTCTAGTTATATTTCATTGAAATTTAAATTTAAACATTAAAATTAAATTGAAATATTTTCTAGATGGTTTGCTAGCTGCTTATTGTAGACAGCAGAAAAAAATATGTACATAATGGGACATATTATGTAATGCGTGAGATAATTTACAGATCTTGTAAGTTTCTTGATAGTCAGAATTCAAAAATACAAGATGAAGATTTTAAATTTATCTGCAGGCAAAGGCTACAAGTTGTGTATCTGTATACTATTTCTGTGAACATAAAAACTAGCAAAAATTATTACGAAAATAACAATTACATTAATTTCCATAGAAATTATAATTGCCCTTAAATCTGAATCCATTCTCATCAGATTAACAGATTAATTGTTCAGAAGAAATGCATGGATATTAGGAAAGGCAATCAAGTAGCTGTATTAATGAAAAGAGTATTGCAAGCTGTGTTAACGAAGTTATTATAAATGCAATAATTTATCACCTCCAATTGATGCAGGGTTTTTTCTCTCCAGGAAAAACAAGTTGCCTTAGGTGAAGTAGCAGAACTGAATCCACAGAGAAGAGGTAAATATAATTAACAAGATACTAATGCTCAGTCAAACAATACAAATGGCATTTGAAACCCAGATTTAAAATTATATATTCTACTGGCAAATGTTTAAACTGAATAAAAATGTTCAACTAAGTATGTTTAAATTTTAGCTGTGGTAGAATAAAGCAGTGATAATTTGTGAGTAATAATTTGCTTAATCTCAAGAAGATATATGAAGTTGCTGGGATGTGAGGGAAGGAAGAGTTAAGAATTATTTCTGGTGGAGTTATTAAAACAATTATTTAAAAAAATACTGAATAACCTAGTATCCTTGCTAATAAATACTTCTTATTTTATCCATTGATTGTCATTGTTCACCAGTTTTACAGTTTTAGAGCTCCAAACATTTATCACTTTTTTAAAGCGCTAGCTGAAGCATAGCTCAAGATCTGAAGTCTTGAGTGAAGTCTGGGAATTATTGATTACATAGGAGTAGACACTATGAATGGCACACCTTCCTTTTTTTGTTGCTTCCACTCAGACTAGAGTGGTATAGGTGTTCATTTGGCCTCATACTTGAGGCCTCAAGACCTCCCCATATACAGTTTTGTATGGGTGTCAGTGGTTATCACCACTGAGTACTATAGGAGTGCAGAACATGCCACCTCTGGACTTCATAAATCCTGATTGGGTGAGGCACTCTACGTATCTTTTTCCCCTAGCAGCCTTTCTTTCTTTCTCAGTGGCTGCTACATTTCCTACCTACCTACTCTCAACTGTATTTTCCTCTACCTCTCCACTCCTTTTTCCTGATGCTACTCTACTTTTTATGATTCTTCTCAGTCTCCTCCACAATACCTTTCTTCAACGCCTGCGCATTTCTTCCCAACTTACCCACTCTCCTCCAGCTTCTCCATGCTACCCTTTTTCCTCAGTACCAAAAGATGTTGCAGCAATTTTCAGCATTAGTAGAAAATGCTCTAACATTGAACACTCCCTTTACAAAGAAGAAAAAGTAGAAAAGGCTGCATGTTAATTTCTTTCAGAACAGAAGAAAAACATTATCCTTCCTTTTGTTCTCAAAATGAAACAAGAAAAGTGCAGACTCTTTGTGTCAAAGCCTTGTCATGGCACTATGCTAGAGCATAATCTTCCAGTAAACAACTAATTTGCAGCTGTTTTCTGTTTTTCTTTTTGTTACAGAGGTGGGGTCTCTACATGTGTTGAGATAAACTAAGTAATTAAATATGTGCATGCGTGACCACCCATGACAGGGCTTTGGGAAAGGAATGGTTTCCAGTCAAAGATATTGTGTTGTCTTAGTATTGTGAAAAAGGGCACAGACTTCACTGCCTTTTGTGGGTGGATTGGAACAGAAAGCTAGATTCAGATTGCCCAGATGACAGTGCAGGGAAAGGGGACATACATGAGGGTTGAATGAAAAGTAATGTCTTCACTTCCATAACTTTAGTTTAAATAGGGATATTTTAATAACTGAAACAGGGGAAAATCCTTGAAATCCTTGAGCACTTTTTTAACTTGTATACTTCTCCACATACTCATGTACTACTTCACCATTCACTATACACTTCTGCCAACGATGGACAAACTTCTTAAAGTCATCATGAAACTCCAAACTTTGTCTCTTCAAGTAGGCCCTGACAGTTCTTTCCACCTCTTCATTTGAGTCAAACAGATGCCCATGAAGATATTCCTTCAATTTTGGGAAACGGTGAAAGTCATATGGCACCAAGTCTGGATGATATGGCAGATGGTGTGAGACTGAGATCCAACTTTGTAATCACTTCTTGGGTGGCCTGTTAGGTATGAGATCTAGTATTGTTGTGTTGCAGCAGAATGACCTTGTGCTTCTGAACTCTGCTTAATCATTGTTCCAAAGTGTTGAGTGGTGCAATCTGGTGCTATGAAGTGGTGTCAGGATCAAGAAATCCATATGCACCCCAAAACACCATCTGCATCCCAAAAATCTGTAACAATAACTTTTCCTACCCAAGTCTGGGCTTTCATTTTTTTCTTTGTAGGTGAAGCTTTGTAATGATATTCCATGGGCTGATGCTTCATTTTTGGCTCATAAAGATGACCCCATGTTTTGTCAACTGTCACCAAGCTGTGAAGAAATTCCTAACCTTCATTTGCATAGCATGACAGCAATTGCTTGCAAATTTCAACTGTTAAAGATTTCATCTCTGTCATCAGCATGCAAGGAACCCATGTTGCACAAACCTTCCAATACTGAAGAATATCAATAATATGATCCACGTGTTCCTGTGAAATACCAAGCTTGATCTGTGGATTGTCCTTAATCAATTCATCAATCTTTCTCATGTGAAACTTGTTGATTGCTATTATAGGTTGTTGTCCACCTTGTTCTTGATCACACAAACCAACTCTTCCAGTTCACCTTCTTTACATTTTTTGGCCCAATGATGCACAGTAGTTGCATCAACATAGTCATCACCATAGTCAATCTGCATTCAGGAGTGAATTTCAATTAGAGGGATTCCTTCAGCAGTCAAAAATTCACTCATGGCTATTGCTTAAAGTGCACTAACAAGAACAGGTAAGTCCCCAGGTTAAGAATGCCCAGTTTACGGACGACCCATAGTTAAGAACGGAGCCTATTGTAGCAAAATTCAAGTTAAATACACAATGGTTCAAGTTAATTATACAATACTACTTATACAGTATTACATGGTAATACTGTTCCAGCTTACATACAAATTCGACTTAAGGACAGACCTTGGGAACGGAACTCATTCTTAAACTGGGGACTATCTGTAGTCACTTCAGGCTTCCATTTCATGTACAATAGCAACACAACATTTTCTCATAGCAACTTAGTATTACATGGTAATACTGTTCCAGCTTACATACAAATTCGACTTAAGGACAGACCTTGGGAACGGAACTCATTCTTAAACTGGGGACTATCTGTAGTCACTTCAGGCTTCCATTTCATGTACAATAGCAACACAACATTTTCTCATAGCAACTTCCAGCCAGTTGAAGTGAAAGCATAGATGCTAATGAACATGTCAGAGCTTCTAGCATGTCCATATGCCATCTATTAGTGACTTAGAGAATTGGAGGAATTACTTTTCATTCAACTATCATACTTTTAATTTTTTTATATATTAAAAGTGTTTATGTATCAGTCAATGTTGTGTCAGCTTTTTCATCTGGCTGCTATTCTGCTTGCAATAAGAGCTTGCTCCTTAGCTTTGTTGTGATTCCTTGAGAAAACAATTGCAACTGAATTCCTGAATTGGAGGACCTTGGCAATTTGTTTGTGTGGAAAAAAAAATAGAAATAAATAAAATAGTTCTGCTACCTTTGGTGTTCAGCCCTTGACACATCGAATTTACACAACCCTGATTTAAAGTATAACTTTATAGATGTCTATACAAAACAAATTCCATGGAGCTAACCCTTAGGCATGTGGATATAGGAATGCAGTTTTAACTTCAAACAATAATAATAATAATGTTTTCAACTAGCTTGATTTTTTTTTCTTTGGATTAATCTTACACTATTTCTAAAAGGCTTCTGACAGACCTCAAAACGTAGACATAACTCAATTATTTTGTGTCCAATTGGCAATGTATGCTTTATTCATTGTCCATTGGCAATATATATTTAATGAGTATAATTAAATGGCAAAACATGAATATTGTTTCTTACAGAAGTTCATGTGGTATATAGCGATTTAGCAGAAGAAGAGCAAGACTTTGAAGTGAAGGATGGTAAGGCAAAGAAATGTTTTGTGCTGCAATTAAAAACTGCAGTTAAAAACCATTATACCATCCTCTAAAACATTTTCCTTTGTTTTTACAAAATTTTTAAAAAATAGCAAAAACATTAACAGTGTAGAGTTTTAAAGAAATGATACCTCAAACTAAACCAAACTAAAAAGAGGGAGAATATGAATTAGGAATGTGTATATGTGATGTACGTACATGTATCTCTTTTGCTGTAACAAAGAAGTAGTCTTGAGTTGAATTGACTCCCTGCCTTGCCCTTGAGGTCTTTCCTAGTTTGTTCGTATCAAACCTACTGCGAATAGGGGCAGCCAATAAGAAAAAGACCCCATCTCTAATTGTGAACTTGGTACAGCTTTTACTTTTATTGTTAGAAAACAATATACACATGATCAGTGACACATAGGAGCAATGCTACTTTTCTAGGACATTAAATATGAAGTTTTGTTAAAAGATAGAACAGTGTTTCTTGAAGTGTGGTCCTAGACCCTAGAGATCCCCCAAGACCCTCCTAGGAGTCCACAAAATCAAAATTATTTGTCAGATATTGAAGATAGTTGCAAAAATTTAAAACAATGTCACTCTTCTCATTGTTATTTTTTATCTGTTAGAATATAGTTTTTTCATGAAAAATTTATTAATGTTAATAACTAAAGGGTTTAATATTGTTATTTTTACATGACTCAATAAATATTCTATGAATGCATCAATTTTAATTTTTAATTCAGTAAATATCAATACACATAACCCATACAAACAAAAGCTCTTTTGGGGTCCTCCATAATTTTTAAAAGTGAGAAGCGGTTCTGAGAGCAAAAAGTTCAAGAAACACTGAGATAGAGTATACTTCTGAAGCTCCATACTAGTTCCTCAATTTTTTTGATTTCTCCCTCTCTTCCTGGCATCATTCTCCTCTTGTCCTAAATCTCTAAATTGTATTTCAGGGTTCCTTCACCAGTGAAATTTCTAGTTCTTCACATACCCATGTAGCTTTGGCTGCCAATCATTGCTTTGTTATTCTTTGCACACAGCCTTGTACCTTCTCTCCTTTACCTCTTCTTTCTGAGTAGTTTTTCTGTTGCTGGAGAGGGAGCTTCCTACCCTGCTATTTTCAAACCTTTTTCTCTTCTCTTTGCCACACCCAAAATTGGGGTCTTACTGTATATAAGATACTGAGCTCTCTCTCTCTCTCTCTCTGCCTTGTCCCAACTAAATTATTTCCACCACCACTCCCACCTCACCTTTTATTGCCTGATCTCTAAGGCTGGGATTAGGTAACATATTGTAGAGCCAGCAGGTCTTTCAGGCAGAAAGTTTGTCTATTTCTTCCCAAAATCTATACTTCTATTTCTGTACTTCCCCATTTTAAAGGATTCAGTTTCTTGCATTCTGGAATTAACAACTTTATTCTTGCTTTGCATGAGCTTTACTGCAAACTACTGAGTTGCACATAGTATATATCCATGCAATGCATATGTACTTTGGGAACAGAGACAAAGGTTTTAAACACCCTTATTCAGTCTTTCTGTCCACAACAAATTTTGGATAGGCAAAGGTACAGTAATAGACAATGTAAATATAAAGTCTTCAAATCACACTCAACTGATGATTTCATGGACTAGACATATAATTTTATTGTCAGCAGTAGGGAAGTGATTGCCACTATCTTCTTCCAGGAAGTTTTTTTCTTATTCCCCAGTCTAACCTACAACCCTGGGATTTCCTTGTGGTCTCCAGTCTGAGTACTAACCAGGTTTAATCCTGCTTAGCTTTTTTTAAATCAGCCAGGTTCAGGTAAGAAGCTGATAAATGAAGATCAAATTTGACTAAATTATCAGAGATTTTCAACACTTTTTATTGTGTTAATTTGAGAGCATGTGAATGTGTGCATAACAGCAGTACTGCTGATGGAATTTGATTGCTTTGATACATTTTCCATGGTAACTCTCAAAAATGTGTGTCTGGGAATAAATGACATCACACATGCCATGACATCATATAAATGATGCAAATTATGTAACTGTAATTGTAAATACTAGTTGAAAGCCATTCCCACATGCTTCTTCACTCTTGGAACTCACACTTTCGAGATGATCAGTTATTAATTTTAGCTGCAGCTACTCTGTTCTTGAGCCAGCCACATGAATGTTGATGCAACATTACAGCACAATTTATTTGGTTCTTACACCCTTAGGTTAGTTTTATGAGCACTCAAAGTGATTGTGCTGAAAGATGAAATTTTGTTTGGCTCATTGACGTTTACGTCTGCTGTCTTCAGTTGCAAGGATACAGCACACTGAGAAGCTCATGAGAGTAGGTTCTGAGACTGTCACAGGTTTCAGCTGCTGAGTTCCACAGAAGAGACTATGGGCAGTTGTCTGTAGCTCTTATGTTATACGTTGCCCTTCCCAAGAACAAGAATGAACTAAATCAGATAATTGTGCCAATTGGCAAGAAGTTTCTAAAAGTTGTAAGGAAAAAAAATAGGTTTCTATGTTGTCCAGAAGCTATTAAATACCTGAGTATTAATATCCTCAGGAAATTACCCAATTTGGCGGATAAGAACACTTCAAAATGTATTCCCCAGATAAAAGAAGATATTAAGAAGTAGATGAAAATACTTTTAGGTTTGTGGGGAAGACTTAATTTTGTAATAATTAATTTTGCAACTTTGAGAGCAGTGCCTATGTTGGTTCCACTTAAATGTTTTAAACAGATTAATAAGTTAGTGGTTAAATTTTTAACAAAATACCAAGGTTCTCCTTGTTAAAGTTATGTCTTATGATGACAGTAGTTTCAATCTTTCTGATTTTTAAACAATATCATTGGGCTTGTTAACCTTAATCATGTATTGAAATGGAAACAATATTGACTGTGTACCATAGTGGGCTCAGCTTGAGAGTTATTATTTAGTACCCTTGCAATCTTGGCAGGTTCTTAGTTCTAATTAGAGAAGGAATTCAGTTCCTCTTTCAGCAGAGAAGGCAATTGGGTATATTTGGGTCTTAAAGATTAAATCTGATTTAACATTCCTGGTTTTGTTGTTGAAAACATGGGCTCATAATACAATTGTTACCTTATCAACTATTAAACATGTATACTTTTTTATAAATGTATTGCAGTCAATGATCAGTCATAATGATACAGTATTTTCAAAACTTCTGAGATTTTACAAAAGGAATACAGTTTATCTTAGGCTGAATGGCAATGCATACTGTACTGTTAAAATACTTATTATGTACATTGTTTGGCCCCATTGCCCTCATAGCCTCTGCAAATCGGGAGGCATTGTGTTGGAGAAGGTCTTTACAGATAGTCCTCGCTTAATGATGGTAACTGGGACAGGAATTTCGATTGCTAAGCAATGTGGTCATAAAGCTCAATGTCACATGACTGTGCCGCTTAACAACGGCAGTTACGGCAATCCCTGGTTACTATCGTTAAGTGAGGACCACACAGGCCGTTAAGCAAGGACCTCATGTGATCATGACTTCCAACTTCCTGCCGGCTTCCCCATTGACTTTGTTTGTGGTTAAACTGGCAGGGAAGGTTGCAAATCACGATCACGTGACCACAGAGGCATTGTGATACCCAGAATTTCAATGACTGGTCATAAGTACCACTTGTTCAGTGCCATTGCAAATTTGAACAGTCACTGAACAAGTGGTCATTAGACAAGGACAACCTGTACTAAAATTAAACAGTCTATTAACACCCCAATTTTTTTAAAAAATCAAAATTAAATTTAGACAATTTATAAGAAATTTGGAATACTAAATTTGAGTATCCCATACTGTCTAATCAATGGATTCAGGTTATAAGGAATGTTAGATATGTTTCTTATCACCTAAAAATTCATTTTGTTCAGTAAAAAAAACATATCATATGTATTGCACACCTCAACAAATGTTTAAAAAGGGTTGGTTCCCATCTTTTCTATGCTAGAGATAACAATTTGAAGGAACTTTGATACCTGTATTATGGGCATATCCACTTGTAATTTCTCACTGGCTGAATATCACGGTGTTAAACCAAGTTCTAGAAATGCATATAAGGGTTAAATATACTAATGTTTTGTTGAACTATGTTCCAAACATTTGGAAACTTTCAGTGAAGAACTTTGGATATATTGATTTGGATTTTTGCAAAATAATAATAATAATAGGTACTCATGGAAGAATTCTTGTGTCCCAGATTCTAAAAATTGGCTTAATGAAATTTGTCGACTCTCAGCCTTTGAATTAGCTTTATATCAGAGGCAAGGCTGAATTATACAATTCTCTATGTTGTAGGTTTAATTCCTTGTTAAAAAATTGAATCATAATGTTGAGATTGAAGAAAGTTGCATAATTTTAATTGATAAATATGTGTGTGCATGCACGCACACACACACACACACACACACATGCTCATCCATACATTTTTGTGGGGTTGAGTTTTTAGTTTTGTTTGTAGGCTTTGAAATTTTAAGGGTGTGTTTGTTTTGTCATTTTCTATGGATTTTCATCTTTCTCCTCGTTCCCAGGCAGTTTAGCACTGGATTTTGTTTTCTTTTCTTTTCTCACTATATATTTCTTTTTATAGAATAGGTTTTGTTTCTTTTTTTTTTTAAGTGTGTAGTGTAAAAAATAGTAATTTAGTTATATAGTTATATTGCCATTTAGTTTATATATAAAATTACAAACCAACAACTAAGATTTTTTAAGGAATATTAATTGTAATATTTTAAAATTTAATAAAATTATATTTTTTAAAAAAAATCAGTAGAAATTGGTATACATAGATGAAGGGGAAAAACATGTACGGGGTGCTGATGGATGTTTTTGTATCCATCTTTCACTCTTTTAATTGCAATGCATGTTGCAAAAGCTTGTGAGATTGGTTGATCTTTGATTTTGGTGCTTTTAGAATCCAGAGTTTCCTCAAGTGACCAAGGAATAACCTTGGAAAGTGAAGATCAAGCTATTGCTGAAGGTAAATCTTACAAATTCTGTCCATTTCTGCATGCATTTTTTTTCTCAAAATTAGTTTGAGCATGTTGCTAGTCAGGGCAGAAAAAGGACAAGTGGGAAAAAATAATCCATTTCTCTGTGGCTGCATTCAAACACAAAATTTCACTCTCAAACTGCTTTTTTCTTCTTTGGTTGGGTAGCGGTAAGAGCATTATAGCTGGAAAAAGCAGCGAGTTTAGGCTAGGTTTGCTAACTGTAGCTGATCAAGAGAACAGACCCTACTGAAAAGCATTTTCTTTTAGGTAGTTGAGGAGATACTGTATGAATAATCTAATGAATGGTCTATTACTTGATTTGCAAGGATGAAATTGTAAAGGTGTTTATATAAATTACCTCTAAAGTAGAACATTAAGAAGCTGGCAGGAGAGCCTCATCTTTTGTGTAGCCCTTTTAAGCTGGACTGTTTCCAGTTTATTCTGTTTGTGTGCACCACTGGTGATACAAATGACCTCCAAGTGCACTGTGAGGCCCCTTGATCTCTAGCATTAGTAAAGTAGCATTAGAAGCAATGTTAAAAAGTCAAAAGCACAACTACATACACATAAGCCTTTGTTCACATCTAAAGGACTTACCCATATTGCAGGGAACTGATCACGGGCAATCTGTAACAAGCCATTTTTACAAGTATAAAAATGGAAAAGAGTTCACATTATTAAAACCATCATATGGGTCCATACTTAATCCATGATTTAAATTCACATCTCCCACATCCAAAAACTAACATTTTTTCTCCTGGGACACATCAACTGTTTTTCTCTCTCATTCTGAATTATTCTTTAGTTCACAAGTATTCATCAGTACTGTTACAGAACCAAAATATATATCTACTTTCTTTTCTTGAAGTAAAAAAGATGAATACCTTGTAGATGAGCATATGTAAAACTAACAGTTCTGTTGGTTACAGAAACTGAAGATACTACTGATGAATTAAATGAGTACAAAAATACTGAAGAACAAAACATTGAAGCTGAAGATGGTTAAGAAGCTAAATGCAAAACTACTCTTTAATGTGTAAATGAAAGTTGTACTGCTTCATCAGTGAATGCAGAAAAACTCTGTATGATGTACTTTGAAGAAATATAATGTATAAGTAAGAACTGTTTTATTTATTTTAAATTTATTTTGCAATTTAAAACTATTTTGATATTTGCTGATGTCTGGCAACTTCTCAGAGATGTTTGAATTTTGACTTCCATTGAGTTAGACATTCAGTTAGACATCATGTTATTCATAATATCTACTGAGTTGTACTTCCAGTTCTTATATCACACAAAACTGTAAAACTGGCAAAACGGGTGAATATGCAAAAATAAAAGCAAAAATGTGCTTGACCCAAACATCTTGAATTATACAGCTTGAATTAACTGCTTAAAATCTATTTGACTTGAACTGATGGATTGAGATTTGAGGAGGGCAATTTTTCAAGTTGTTCTAACCAGGTTAACAAAGCTTTTACCTCTGAAGATGCCAGCCACAATTAATGGCAAAATGTCAGGATACCAAATAATTAGAACACACCTGTTAGCCCGGAAGCTCATCACCAATGGACAGAGTATAAACACTTCAAAGAAGCAGACAGAAAAACACTGATGTCTACAGAATAAATTCTGTTGCAAAAATGTGTAAGGCTGACAACTCTTACCATTTTCAGATGTTATATTCTTTCTCATCTCTCCCATTCAGTTTCTCTTTCCCAATGTAAAAGTCAAAGCAGTTTGTGGGGATCTTAGATTAGTTGCTTTATGGGATGATGTTTATTTGTTGTTTACTGATGCCATTACTTTATAAGTACTTAGTGTTTTATAAATATAAGTGTTTTATCTTTTGACTTTGACTGCATTGAGTTAATCCAGGTTGGGGTGGACTAAAATACTGTAAAATATTTTTTTAAAAACCTCAAAATCTGTGTGCTGTCCTATATGTCTTTGGATGGAACAGTATACACTAGCAGAATGGATTCTTTCCCACCTGCCAAGCTGAGCATCCTCATTCCAGATCTTTTCCATTGGGCGTATCTTCTGAGTGTGTTTACAGAGGCTTGGAGAGAGGAGAGTGAGGAGGTATTGCACATCTGTGTTTGAAACCATTTGCATAATGTTGTATATATCCTCTAATTTTTTGCCCTCGGAAAAGATAACAGGTTGCTCTGGACATGCTCCCTTCCAGTGATACTTGGGGACATTTGGGGAGAGATGGAACCAGCTGGAAATAATCCCATTACTCTGATAAATTGCTATGTAAATGTTGGCTATCAGAGTTGGCAGGTTTTGATTCTTCTAGGTTTACTGGCTACATAGATCTCAGTTGGTTAGCAGGAAGGCTTCTGCATTTTAAAACATATCCGATACGAAATATTCATTTTTATAATAATATTGAAAAAGGCCTTACCGAGTTCTTGTGACATGTAAACTTGAGAGCTTTAGAAATACGGTTCAGATCCAGGCTTTTTTTTTTTTTAAAGAAAAAGATTGTAATGAAGCAAACCATGTAATTTTCTTTTTAAGGTATTCATGATACATTCTTCCCTCTGGCTTTCTATCACCATAGTAGCAGTGTGTTTCTCAGCAACCAGTAAATGCTTGGGTCTCACTTTCTAGAAAAGCAGAAGGTGAATTTGCAGGAAATAACCTTTAGAGATCAAGATCAAAGGAACTCTTTTCAATTATTCAGAATAGTTATTATAAATTGATGCACTTGAGGTTTTTATGGTAGTGAGGAGGGCATAATGGCTGGAATTAAACAGGGCATTTTATGATGTACTATTTTGAAACAGATATTTTTTCTTGGGATGTTCTAATATAACAAGGGCAGATTGATTTGATTGCCTTGACAGTTCTGGAGATCTTCGATAGTTTCTTAGCACAGAGGTAAGACTTTCATTTAAGGAAAATGTACATATTAAAGGCTTGTGCCAGTAAAAGAAAAATATATGCTTGAAATGGCATAATGCAGTTTTTCATTTTTGATATATGAGCTTTCCTGGGCACAGCAGCAATGCTGCCTTCCCTGCTCCCTGACCTAAATACCCTAAAGGAACTGAAATATGCTGAATGAAAGATGTCTGGAAAAAAGGAGTCTGCAGTGCATTAGAAAGATGAAAGTTTAAAGTCAAGGACCTCATATATTGATCACTGTAAGTCTCCCTGGTAATATTTTATCAAGGTTGGGACTAAATTATCCATAACATTTTCTAAAATATTCTATTTTTTATTTTGAAATATATAACATAAGTTATTCTAATTTGCATTTTGTTACTATTGCTTAAGAGTTATTAGTTTATAGTTCTTTGATTACAGCAAGTCCAAGGTTGGCCCTGTTTCTAAGTTTAATAAGATAGAGCAATAAGGTAAAATATTAAATGATATCTGCTTATCTTAATTTTCTTTTAAAAGTTATTTAATTACAATTAAATTGTTAACTGATCTTATTAAAGATTATTATTTAATAAGATCTTATTAGATCTTATTAAAATTGGATCTTGAAATATCTTATTTTGTTTGAAAGGAGAGCTGCAATCAATTTAGAGAGGGCAATAAATACATTAAAAAGTGCATGCTTATGCATACTGCCTGTTCCCTGCCCCAGCATAATCATATAAGTGCAGCATGCATCTTTTGTGAATTGTTACGCATTCACACAACCATGCAAGCACAAGCAAATTCATAACAAAGGCTTGCATCTTATGCAATCATGAATTTAACTTGATATATAAAGGTTCCATATGCATTGATGTCCATGCATTCCCTTGACACAGGTGCAGAAGCCCACCATAACAGAAATGCTCTCTATCTAACCCAGTCACACATATTTTTATTTTATTCATCAATCTACCTGGTTATCTTAAAAATAGTTGTACAGTACATCATCCAATTTCAGGGCAGTTAACAGCATAAAACAGAAGCCTCAAAAGCAAGCAAAAATAGCAGCTCAAACTTTCAGATCAATAACATCTGTTTAACTATAGATTGCTGCAATTGTGGAAGCCATTGCAGTGCAAAGGAACAAACTGGTGAAGATCTGAGGTCTGCTGGAATGAAGAGAACCAGAGAGGTGGTGGATTCCCCTTCCCTAGATGTATTCAAGCAGAAGCTAGTTGGTAACCTATCAGGAATATTTCAACTGGGACTAGACTCGAGCCTGAATGGCGTCTTTGGACACTAGGATTCCATGAATTTTCTTTGAGTGCAACTTCTATAGGAAAAGTGAGTGTGGTGTAATTCTGTTTATTGGAGCACAGTGGTGTAACAGTGTTGGACAAGTGATGGAACCTGGAGAGACCCAGGTTCAAGTCCACTCTTAGCCATAGAAACTAACTGGGTGACTTTATCCCACCCCTTCCATGTAAGCCACCTAGAGTTCTTGGAGAAAAGATGTAACAAATACATGAATAAATGTTGAGTAGAAAGCTTCAAAGAATAACTGGGTTACAAAAGTAAGTCCTGAAGAGATTTACTACCGGGGACAAGTTATCAGGCTTAGGATGATCTTGCAATGAAGAGTGAAAAATCCAGGAGTAACCAAAAGAGTTGTAGACAAAGTAGAAGAGTTACAAAAGAAGAGGAAAGGTCCACTGGGAATTAGTAGATGGCTGAAGAACAGGAATCAGAGTAGGAATAAATGAAGAGTTCACACCATGTGCCCAGCTAAATGGCAGCATCCAGTTGACCTTAGCTGATCTTGAAAGGCTGAGCAGGATGACACCTAGTTAGTGTTTGGGTGGGAGACCATTAGAAAGTCCCAGGGTTAGAAGCGATATTTATTTATTTTACTCTAAAAGATGTATATAGCCACCCATATTGTAAAACAACCCTGGGCAGTGCACAAAACAGTAAAAACAATAGAAACCCCCAAACCAAAAATAAAATCAGTAAAAACTCTACAATATAAGACTCTATAAAAACTCACAACACCTGAGGGCAACAGTCTTCCATCCATCTACAAACCATTTTGCTGGGCTTCAGCCTCATCCTACTCCAATGCTTGTGGAAGGCAAGAAGGATGGGGGCATGCCAGATCTTTGGGGGAAAGGTGTTCCACAGGTCAAGGGCAGTTACCAAAAAGATGCGCATTCTAGGTTTTGCTAGATGACAACATTTAAGGGAAGGGACCTGGAAACCACCCACCCTGCTTGACTTGGTTGGCTTTTCCATAGTTTAAGAACTGAGTTCACACTCAGTGAAGCTGTGTAGGGGAAATTTCAGAATGGATAAATGACAGCACTTCTCCACAAGCATGTTATTAAACTACTGATTCTGCTATCATAACGTTTAGTGATGTCCATCAATTTATTATTGAAAGCTAATATTTTTCCCATTACAAGTACAGATAAAGGACTAAATAATTTTATTATGGCATTTAAGCATTTTTTTCCCACAGAGTCTTTGAACACCATTCAAAATTCAATCTATCCAACAGCCCGGAAATTCTGTGCAGTGCAAAGTCTATGCCAACATCAGTCTGCAACAATCAAGCTCAGACCACCTCCTCTCTTAACCACTGAGTCTCCTTGACTTCATTAGCTGCCTCCCACTCTCAAAAAATGGAGAATTTGATTCACAGGAGTGCCACGTTATACACAGGTGACGATAGCATGGCTCCAGGAGAGGGACTGGGCACTTATATTTCTTTGATAAAAAAAGCCCATGAAATCACACTGTGATGCTAAAATAATTGTATATTGAACCTTTTCATCTTAGATATGTCTTTTTCTTGACTTGTAGGAAAAAAAACTGGGTTTCCTCCAAGTCCAATCAGCTGCAGCCAGTTTAATTGCTGTCTTGGGAAACAAGCTGCTTTCCAAAGACAGATGTGAGGAACATTGCTGATGGATCTTTAGCATCTTTAGAGGGTCAGACAAACAAATGAGGGGTTTGCTTAGTAAGACAGACAAGTTTTGCCTAGCACAGGTGCTAAACTGCAAAATGAATTATGTGTCCCCAAGGGACACAAGAAAAACAAACTTTCCCATTTTCTGCATTGAT